CTTCACTCTAATTATATTAGCCCTCTTCTGAAACTGCTGCGTGTTGTGTCGGATGGGTGTAGAGTGAGGTAAGAGAAGCCAGAGACAAGTAGCTTGCTGGGAGGATTACAGCTACACAAAAGCAGGATTGTGTTATCCACCGGTGACATGCGGTTGAAAAACAAAATAAACACATCCTGTCCCACCAAGTTATAACTCTGAGCAGGCATTGCCCGGTGAGACTCACATGTGAGGTGATTTCCATCCTGGTCACAGGCAGCCGTTTCTTCCTGTGTAGTTTGCCATGGACACTGAACGCTTTTTTATGGTGTTTGGTTAAAAAGAGGGAACAGCATCCAACAAGAAGCTCTCGCTTTTCTATTTTCCCTCCTGTGAACCTGAGTCATCCTTTCTCTCAGGCTTCCCAGTTCTTGCAGCTTTATGAAGCACCTGTGAAATTGATTTAGCGGCAAGTTTGAGACTAAAATAAGCAAATGGGAACGGGCTAGCGTAACCCAGAGCCCCACCTCCTCCCCCAGCCCTGGCCAGAAAGTGCAAATGGTTTCCAAGTGATGTGAATGAAGACGCTCATGGATAGCCCACAGTCCTTTCTGCTTTCCTGACTTTCAGACATCACTGTAAGACTCCTTTTCCCTGAAGGGAGTGTGTCTGGTTTGCATCCAGCGTCTCCCATGTGCTCCAGTTAGCAGAAGTCATTAGCAATCCCCCGTGGCTCTTTGTCTCCACTGACAGCACTAATAGAGACGTCACTTGGGACTGACAGATCTCCAGCGGGTGAGAAGCTTCAGACAGAAGGGCACGGCTGACCTTTCTTGGCATTATTCCTCTAGGTCTGTCTCCCATGTGTGGCAGTCAGGCAGCACAGAACTTTAGTGCATTATTTTTGGAGGATTAGCATTAAAAAGACCGCAGCCTTAGTAAGGAGCTGTTAAGAAGTGAACAGAGGCAGTGTGCGTGCCAAAGAGGGTTCAGAAGTTGCTGGTGGTCGAGTGCGGGCTTCTGTACTTTAAGTTCCAGGATGGTCCATTGAAACCGACTTAGCTCACCTGTACTTTTGGGTTATTGAGGCAAGCCTGGGAACTTGGCAGAAGGAGCTTGTGGTACAGGTCGGAGAAAGAAAAGAGTCTCTCTCTTTCACTGTCCTGTGTAAGTCATCCAAGAGCAAATTTTAAATAGCTCAGTCTTGTGGATAGAATCTTTCGCAGGCCATTTCTTGGGTCCATGTTGCTCTCATACTGACTGAGGGCCCTGAGAATACACTGTGGTCAGGGATGCTCCGTGCCTTAGACATCACTACCTTCTGTCTTCTTCCTGCTCTTTCCCCAGGATAAAGAACAAAATCCTGTTGTCATGATCTCCATCTGAACCGTGTGTGAGCAGGACAGGGGTGCCGCTGCATGAACTCATGGTAGCATGTGAAGGACGGGAAGTCCTGGGTGCTTGTACAATAGAAGTCTCCTGACTAGAAATTCAGGTTGTGTCTCAGTAGGAGGATGCAGGGTTGAGGGTGAGAAGGGAACAGATGGAAGGCAGAATTGCCAGTAACGAGGGATACCCTTTGTTTAGGAATTAGTTCACATCCTTATGATGCTTATCGCAGCTTTTTTCCCCACTTCATCCACTTTGTATATGCAGATTTTTCCAAAAGTTTCCGTAATTTGTTTCCTGGTTCATTCTGTACTGAGTCAAAACGAAGGGCAAGGAGGCAGGAAGATGACAGTAAGTGTCGTGGTTTGGGGGATATTGCAAAGGAGAACAATAGAATACAGGACACATATTTTATAAGATTATTTATAATAGTCACCCAAAGAATCATATACAAGAGAGTGCAGGAAATCTGTCCGCATACTAACAACCAAAGAATCTTGACCAGCTGAGGGCCTGGATCCCACAATAATGTCCTACATGAGTCCAGTGAAGACCTAGAGCCCATAACAACACCTCCCACGAGTCCCACTGGAAGCCCAGAGCCCATAACAATATCTCATGCAGGCCTGTTTCACGGATCTGCACTGGGAAGGCCCCAAGGTCAGTGGTGGAATCTAGAAAGTCTGTGCCAGCGGGATGAAGGATCTGTGCTAGCAGGCTGAGGGATCTGCACTGGAGCCAGGAAGCAACACTCAAAATAAGAACCAGAGCTCCCCCGAAAAGTACCACAGCCCTCCTCAGCAGCAGTGAGGCCCAAGCTTCTCTGATGATGAGGAAAGCCAAGTTCCCATCAGGGAAGCCAACGTGAAAAGCTTCTCCAGGAGACTGAGCTGTGCACCATCTTCCCCTCTGGAGCCAGGAAGCAATGCTCAGAGTGAGGACCAGAGCTCCCCTAAAGTGAACCAGAGCCATTCTCTGCAGCAACAAGGTCCTGAGCTCCTTGGAAGATGAAAACACCTAAGTTGATCAGGAAAGCCAGCATGATAAGCTCCTCTAAGAGAACCAACAGCTCCTTACAGCTTCTTTCCACTTCCAACAGGCTCTCAACAGCTTCTGCCAGCTCCCAACAGCCTACTTCGTCTTCTCCAGTGCTGCCTCTTATGCTGCTGGCAACAGTCCCCAGGTGGGCCTCCCACACCCAGCACCATGCCTACTCAGTTCAGGTCGGGGTTATAAGTTGACCACCAGTTGTCAGTCCACCACAATGAGTAAGCCAAGTTATTTCTTTGGTGAATGTTTGAAGAGAGGGTGTTCTCCTGCAGCACCTGCATCCTCAGTTTATTAATGAATTGCTGCACTGTGGTTACCATTGCCTGGAATGCACGCCTGTCCCTGGATGGCCGCCATTTTAAGAACAATCTCCATTGTATTCTTTCGACATGGAAAACGTGACATATCAGAAACACAGATCTGCCTATAAGGGAATGGGTTCTTTCCAGAAATTCCTATTACCCTCCTTTTTAGAAAAGGGGAATTCAAAGAAAAAAAGTAAAAAAGTAATAAAGGAATGAAATGAAGAGAAGATACAGAAGCATCATAAACTAGATCCTAAGAGGAAATAGAGATGATCGAGAAATGCATGCAAGAGATCAGTGGGGAATCTAGAAATCCTTCCCTAAGTAAAAGTAGAAACAAAAGCAAAAAGATGAATGGCAGCTCCCTGCCAACATGATACACCCAGGGAAAGGTACTCAACTGAGCAGAACGTCTATGACCCTTGGGTTTTCACTCACCTTGGACAGCTTTCTGACTCCTAGAGAACCAAGCTCGTTAATTTCCCAAGAGACTAAAATCTAACTAATCATATTTAACCACTAAGATGAGGACACTGACATTATTGATAATATTGGAGAGGAATATATCGGCTTATTTTTTTCACTTGACACCAACAGGCTCTTCTTTTTCTTGGAAAGATCATGGTGAATTATTCTCTCTTAATATTTAGTAATATTTCCTTCCTTAGAAGCATTTTTGTGAATTTGTAATCACTTTTCTTTCTCCATTTTCCTGAACAGTTGCAAGTCCGTAAAACAAAACCAGAAATGATTCAAAGTATCTATTTTGTTTAAAGAAGAAATATTGCATCATTTTCTTAGTAACAATTTCATTTATCCTTCCTTTCCCAAAGCACAGATCAGCTGAAAAATGATTTGTGTCCTGGTGTACTTGCGTCCCAGAATACACTTTCATTATCTTGACTTATCAGTTATAGCAAAATAGACAATAGAGCCTCAGAACTGGACATACGTCACTTTGGTTGTGTCTTGGGAAGAGTGATTGCTGGATGTCTGTGTTCCAGTAGCCCTGGGCTGTGGACCAGAAGTCTGAAAATGGACATACGTGGTAGGAATTGTAGGGAAAGGGCTTCTGTCTGTTTGCTGCTAGGAAAGCTACATATATCTCAGCTGCTTCATCCCTGTCCCTACCTCTCTGTCTCATAGGTAAACACATCACACAAAGTTCTTTCACACATCATCTTCTCCGTTTTTGAACATACCAAAAAGAAAAAAAAGTAGCTTGATATCCATAGCTACATTCTCTAAGGTGATACCCAGACCTACATTCCCTGCCCTTTTTTTATTTTTTTATTTTGACAGAGTCTCACTAGGGTAGGTTGCCCATGCCGAGCTCAAACTGGAGATCCTCTTGCTTCAGCTTCTCGGAGTGGTGGGATTACAGGTGTGCACTGCCATGCCTGACAGACTCATCTTTACTGGTCTAGATTAGCATGTGATTTAACATGATTATTTTACCTGTAGAAAGAAAAGGTGGTTTCTAGTCATGATTGAACCCATGTGACAGCATTTTTTGATCTTGGACATATCGGTGAATTCCCTCAAGTTTCATTTCTTCACCTAAAAAGTGATGTTGATAGCTAATTTGGGGGACTGCCAGGGAATTAAGGGAGGAAATGGTTCTAAAAGGGAATTTATAAACTGATTAGAGCTGTACAAGTATTAGTATCCATCATTAGCGTGTTAATGAGCTTCATTTAGCGCTGCTTCCGCGATGTGCTTCTGGTTATTGTATCGAGTAACACAATAGGCATTTTACTTGGGCAACATTCGTGTCTTCATTCATATGCTCCTTGCTTGATGAAGTGGTATTGATCAGATTGGGCTTAGATCTACTAGGACAAAGTGAATATTCACTCTAAATGTTCTCAAGATAGAATGTCAAGTGGCTTCAATATTACTGCTTCCTTCAGTCTCAGACAGCTCTTTTTAGTTTCTGCAACAAATACCTAGAAGTACAGGACGTTTGTTACCCTGACAAGAATTCCTTCCACGTTTGTCTTTTCTTTGCCCCTTCTGTCCATCCCTCCCCTACCCTCCCTTCTTATTTCTTCCTTCCACTTGGACTTAATTTCTTGAAACAGGGTGTTGTCACTAACATTACTTATGTACCTAACAGTGATGTCTTGGGGTAAGAATTTTTTTTAGAAGTGCAATTAGTGACCACCAGGTCACACGCTAGTGGGCTTGTGCTGTGAGTACTGAACAGGAGTCTGTAGACCTGATCTGTATTGGTTGAGATGATCTTCACCTTCTCCTTTCTCTTCATCCTTTCAGGAAACTTGGATTTAACTGGTCAGAAGCAAGTGTTCAAAGCAGAGAACAATCCCTGGGTTACCCCTATTGCTGACCAGTTCCAGCTTGGCGTGTCCCACGTTTTTGAATATATCCGTTCTGAAACATACAAATAGTAAGTAGACTATGTTTTTCTACAATATCTGTGGTTTTTCTGGTATTTATAATGATGTCATGTAAAGAATTATCCGGTAACATTGTCCTGTTGCTGGCAGTTAAAGCGTAGCATTTTAAAATGTTTTATTAAAAACTACATGTGGGAATTGCCTCTGTAGATTACTTTTACTTGACATTTTTAAGGGCATTTTTCACTCGTTTTGTTTAGAGAATTTTTAAGATACTAAATTAGTTGAATATTCATGGCTTCAAGGAAATACACCAGACACTTTAAGATCGGAACATATTTTATTTTTCTGTGAATGCAAGAATTATAAATGTTATGAACAAAATTTTTAAGCAGTGTATTTATAAGATGACAGAATACTAGGAAAGCCTCACTCTGTTATGTAGAAGGTTTTACTCCAGTGACATGACAGTCTCTAAGGGAAAGAGAAAGGACAGAAAAAGAGGTGGAGAAATCAGCTTAAAATCACAGCTTCAAAATACCTGAAGTCCTGACTTCAGGTTAAGGGGGATAATATGAGCCACCCCCAAACCTAGCCTCTTCCTGCTGTGTTGGGGTTTGAGGGGATTTTTCTGCCTCCCACCTACTTCCGCCATTGTTTCCCCCTTGTACCCCAGCTCCTCAGCCCGACAGCAGCCGTTTATCTCAGTGCTCAACTGATCCCTAGGACTGGCATCTAGGCTAGTTTCAAGTATCTACAACAAAGATTTGGAAAATAAACCCATAGTCGGATTTAATCTGTTTCTGTGTTTGGTTGGTATCAACTTTTGAGAATTTAGCATCCCCACTATTAGTGAGAAGTTAAAGGATCTTGGAAGTTTACATTCAGTTAAGAATCTCTCTCCCTGTCTCCCTCCATCACTCTCTGTCTCGGTTGGTCTCTGTCTCGTCTCTGTCTCTGTCTTTGTCTCTGTCTCAGTATAAGAAAGATGCCCACCACTCAGTGCGTTTCTCAATGGGTCTGTGCTGGGCTGTGAGGTTGGATCCAGTGACAAGACAGAACTTCTGCCTACGAGTGGCCATCTCTGCCAAGCACCGTGAAAAACAATGATGTTAAAATGAGATGCAACAAAATGCCCGAATTATGGCATGTCTTCATGGATAAAAGCAGTTTAAAGCATGCTTTACATGTTTTAGATGATATTCTGACATTTATAATGTAATCCTTAATAAGAGTAAAATGGGATAAGTATACGATATGTATTAAGTTGCATGAGCCGTATAGATATGTGCAGTTATTACAGATTCAATCATTGTTTTAAACACAAATATCGTCTAGCCTCAGAAATTGGTTTGGTTAATGAGATGATGTAGAAATAATATAATTGCAAGTTAGCAAATTATTGTTCACTTTGTTTTTCTTAATTGTTGCCATCGTGTGTTTTAGATACAGCTCTGATTTTTTTGGTGGTAAATGGGAAGCTAGATAGAGCTCAGTTTATAGACTGTGTTTAAGATACCTTTCTGTATATGGCATTATGTAGAAAATACTCAAGTAAGTACCTATTAACCCAGAATTGGAGGAAGTATGCTTAATTGTTTTGGTACAGTTTAGCTATCCGTAACTATAATATTCATCATAGGGAACTGGTACCTGTACATGATATATCTTACTGCTTCTTTTTTTCCTGCTTCTCTCCTTTCAAACGTTCTTCTCCTGCTCTATAAAAACTTTGTTTCCATTTTTCCCTTTTATTCTTTTTTTTCTTGTCCCTTCTTTCCTTTCCCCTCCCCTCTTCCCTTGTTTCCCTTCTCATCTCAACATTTTGTTCCCATTTCCCCAAATCTGGTATACATTTTGGTCCTTACTACATTTTCGGTTCCTCACACCAGAGAAACAATGTGATATTTAAACATACATTCTGATTTTTTTCACTTAAGATTATGGTCTCAAGGTGTATCCATTTAGCTAGAAATGGTCTCAAGTTTATCTTTCCTTATGGCAGAGTAGTACTCCATTGTATAAGAAAAAAAACCACATCTTTCTTATCCCTTCATTGGCTGATGGGCATTTGGGCTCTGCACAAAGTTTAGCTATTACAAGCTGTGCTGCTATAAGCATGGATGTGCATATCATGCTTATAATTCTGTGGTATCATGCTTAGAATTCTTTTGGGAAGATACCAAAAAGGAGAATAGCTGGGTCGAACTAGTGTTAGTTTTCTGAGGAATTACCACACTGATTTCTACAATAATTGTACCAGTCTACATTCCCAACAGTGGAAAAGGGCTCCTTTTTCCCCACAGGCCCACCAGCATTTGTTATTGATTGATTTGTTGACGACAGCCATTCCTTCTAGAATCTCAGCATTGTTTGAATTTGCATCTCTCCAGTGACCCATGATATTGAACATTTTTTCATATATTAGTTTGCTATTTCTTTTGGTTCAACAAGAGGTGTGTGTTCATCTCAGATGCCCATTTGTGGATTGAGTCTTTAAATTTGTGAAATTTGTATTTTTTCAGTTCTTATTTTTTTGAGATATTAGTCCTTCGTCTGAGAAACAGCTGGCAATTTTTTTTCCCCATTCTGTAGGTTGTCATTTCACTCCATTGGTGGTTTCTTTTGCTGTGCAAAAGCATCTTACTATGATAAGATCCCAGTTGTTGATTCTTTGTAATAGTTCCTTGCAGTCTTGGTTTTGTTCATAAAGTCTGCCTACACCAATGTCTTCAAGAGTTCTACCAATTCTATCTTCCAGCAGACTTAGTGTTTCTGCTTGATATTTAGAGCTTTGATCCATTTCCATTTTAGTTTACTGCATAGTGAAAGATACGGGTCTAGTTTTAATCTTCAGCATGTGGAAAGGCAGTTTTTCTAGCACCATTTATTAAAGATGCTATCTTTTGTCCAGTGAAGTTTTTTGCCTTCTTTGTCAAAGATAAGATGGCTAAGTAGGTTTGGAGTAGTTTGAGCATCTTCTAATCTGTTTCATCGATCCTTGGGTTTGTTTTTGGGGGTTTTTTGGAGGGTTTTTTTTTTCCCAGTACCATGCTGTTTTTATCACAGTAGCTTTGTATTATAATTTTAAGTCTGGGTTTGTGATGTCTTCCAGTTTTGCCTTTTTTGCCCAGAGCTGCTTTTGCTGTTCTAAGTCTCTTCTCTTTCCAAATGAATTTCAGGATTGTTTTCTGTAATTCTGTGAGGTATACTGTTGGTACTTTGATGGGGATTGCATTAAATCTGTCTAAGAATTTTGGAAGTATGGCCGTTTTCACTATATTGGTTATTCCTAGTCAAAAACAAGGGATATCTTTCACATTTTCTGATACCCTCTTCAATTTTGTCTTTCATAGTACTTTAATTTTCAGTGTAGAGGTCTTTTACTTCCTTCATTAGATTGATTCCTAGGTATTTCACTTTTTAAGATGCTTTTGTGAAAGGTGTAGTTTCCCTAATTTCTCTCTCAGTGAGTTTATTATTTGTGCACAGAAAGGCTATTGACTTTTGAGTGTTGTCTTTCTATCCAGCTACATTCCTGAATTTGGTTATTAAATCTAGAATTCTTTGGTGGAGGGTTTGGGGTCTTCTATGTAAGGTCTCCTGTCATCTGCAAATAATGATAATTTAACTTCTTCCTTTCCTATCCCTTTTCGTTTTATCTCTCTCTCTTGTCTAATTGCTCTCCCTAGTGTTTCCAGAACTGTATTGAATAATCATGGTGACAGTAGACATCCTTGTCTTGTTCCTGATTTTAGAGTGAAAGCTTTCAGTTTTTCTCCATTTAGTGTGATGTCGGCTGTTGGTTTGTCATAGAGGGCTTTTATCAGATTGAGTTGAAGACCATGATTCCAATTGTCTGTAGGGTTTTTACCATGAACTTTGTCAAAGCCTTTTTCCTCATCTATTGAGATGATCATATGGTTTTTGTCCTTGACTCTGTTAAAATGCTATACTACATTTATTGATTTGCATATGTTGAACCATTTCTGTATCCCTAGGATGAATCCTACTTGGTCATATTGTATAATCTTCTTGATGAGTTGCTGCATTCTGTTTGCCAGTGTCTTATTGAGGATGTTTGCATCTATGTTCATTAGGGACATTGGCCTGTAGTTCTGTTTGTTGTTTGGATCCTCTTGTGGTTTTGGTGTCATAGTAATGCTTGCTTCGAGGAATGACTTTGGGAGTATTATTTCCCTTTCAGTTTCATTAAATAGTTTGAGAAGTAGTAGCATAAGGTCTTCTGGAAATTTCTTGTAGAATTCAGTAGTGAATCTGTCAGGACCCGAGCTTTTCTTTGTTGATTGATTTTTAATTATATCTTCAATTTCATTGATTGATCTTGGTTTATTTACATTTTTATATCAATTTGGCTTGGGTAATTCATATGTTTCTAGGAATCTGTGCACTTCTTCTGTGTTGTCAGTCTTAGTAGAATACAGGTTTTTGAAGTAGATATTGATGATCTCCTGGATTTCTACAGGATCTGTTGTGCTTTCACCCTTTTCATCCCTAACTGCATGGATTTGAGTCTTTTCTTTCCTTTTTTTGCTAAGGATGGCTAAGAGAGATTATCTATTTTACTTAATCTTTCAATGAGCCAACTGTTCAGTTTATTGAGTATTGTTTTCTTAGTCTCCTTGGCTTCAATTTCTGCTCTCATTTTTATAATTTCTTCCCTCAGGGGCTATCAGCTTGACTTGCTCTTCCTTTTCTAGAGGCTTGAGAGTTACTAGGTTGTTTATTTGAGCTCACTCTGTCTTTCTCATATGGGACTTCTCTGATATAAATTTCCCTCGTAGGACTGCTTTCATTGTGTCACATAAATTCTGATATGTTATATTAGCATGATCATTTAATTGTAAAATTTACCTAATTTCTTTTTTTTCATCTGTGAACAATTAGTTGTTCAGGAGGGTGTCATTTAATTTCCATGTGTTTATGAAGTTCTTGTTTCTTTTGCCATTTCTCATTTCATTGCACTATAGTCTGATAATATGCATGGGAAATTTTCAGTTCCTTTGCATTTATTTAAACATGTTCTATG